TCCACCAATTAAAGCATAACTTGTTTCGGTACAGTTTTTGGCCTTGGGACCTTTACATAGTCCAAAATTGGTCAGGTTTAAATCAAATCTACCCTGAAACAATTACACGTCGATTAGAACTTATTCGGTAATTTCTAAATAAGTAACAGAACAAATTATTAAGTTAGAGGCAAAAGACCAATCCCACTCTGTTTCCCACCACTGCAGCTCCGTATTTATATTTTTGAATGCAGTTCTCTTTGTTTTCAAAATTATAGGAATGTTTTCTTTGAGTAAAATTTTCTATCTACAGTATTAAGAGTACTTTCCCTCCAGGTGGCATTACAAAATTCCACCCTGTATACCTACCGATCTCCAATGAAATCCATCCGGCGTGATGTGAATTTAAATACTGTCCTTTATGTAACAAAAGAATGTCCCTAACCCTCCTATTACAAATCATACAGATTTCAAGTGACATACTCGTAAGTGGATACTTAAGTGAGTGTTACTTACAAAAGATTTTTCCTGCATTGAGTTTACGCTGGTTATACAATAAATAAAAATAAATATTCTAAACATAGTATAGAAAGTCCAAAGCTTCGTTTCTAAATAAAAAACTAATGGTCCTTGCTGCAAATCCCCTCTAACTGGTTTTTAAATAATTGTCAATTTCACTGAAAAGACATATCTGATTGTTCCGATTGTTAAACTAAATAATGATGCAATTATTCAAACTTTTATTGCCTTATTTAGGTACTATAGCCACCACTTACATGTTTTTGAAAATCACATTGAAAATCTATTTTTATAACTATTTTAAAGGTATTTTGAGTAACCATACTCACAAACAATTTTCACTGACATTAATATTGAACCTCCTAGATAGGTATAATCCTACTATAACACTAGCTAAATGTTAAGAGGGAGCGAAGTTATTATTAGGGCAAGTTCATTGATCGCCTTCAAAAGATTTATACTAAATTAATTTAGAACTTTGTAGATTAGTTATGACTAGATTTACTGGCTCTAGATTTAGTTGTTTAGGCCCAGTAGCTGTAGGTATAGACCACGAAAAGCACTCGATTTTTTTTAGTAAAAAAAAGCTAAATCGCAAAATACAAGCTGTTCATTATAAAATCTTCTTTCTTATCGAACAATCAGGTTGATTTTACAAAATACAAAATATTCATTTTTACGCATTCCTGCGTACCTATATTACGCGTATCACAGTTTATCTAAGTAGCAGGAAGGCGCTGGAGGCAGGGCGCTACCAACCGGGCAACATGGAAAGCATTGGGGGAGGCCCATGTTCAGCAGTGGACTGGACATCCTATGGCTGAGATGATGATGATGATGATGATGACAGCTTATCTCGTACCTAATTACATAAATAATTTCATTTACCAGCTTTATTCTGAGTTCAAACCTAATTCGAAGAAAATTGAGAAATAACCATCATAACAAACTGTTTATTAAAATTATTAACACAAGGTTTTTCAGGCAATTATAGCTGTCTAAGAGTTCATTTAAAAAAAAAGCAGATCCATTTATTATATCCTGCCACTGCTAAGTTTCTTAGGTCGTTAGTCCGTCAATTTAAGGAACGTGTGCTGAAACGTGATCTCCTATTAATACCACATATTAAATTTTATTTTATTTCAAACTTTATTGCAACAAAAGGTAAACAAAATGCTAAAAATTTCTCTTTATTTAGTTATTGATGCTTAACAGAGCTGTAAGTTCGGTGATGCTTATTAAGACAAAAGTTATACATATATTTTACATTACAGATTCCATTTAATCGTAGTATACTAAACTTATTCATTCTTCGGAAATACTGTGACATGTATAATGGAACAGCAAAAATTACACACGTCCGAGTGAAGAATAGTTTGAAAGCTCATATTCCCGTACATAAAAGCGCCTCCGTAGTACTTTTGGCTTAAACTGGACACATCATAATCGGAAGGGTAGGTACCCTGTGGCAAAAAATACAAATATCAACAAAATAACAACTACAATTATAAGCTATCTACAGAGAACTATATTAATTTAGTAGAGACAATATTCACAAATTCCTTGACAAAATTTCTGAAGAAATACAGGGTGGAATTTTGTAATGCCACTGGAGGGAAAGTACTCTTAATACTGTAAATAGAAAATTTTACTGAAAGAAAACATTCCTTTATTTTTTTAAAGAAAGAAAACTGCATTCAAAGATTTTTGATTTTTTTTTCGAAAATTCACTACCATACCATACAATTTTCTGTACAAAATTAAAATAATTTAAGATTTCATAGTTTTCCTTTCATTTGGTTTATAAATCAAGTTTGTTAGAGAGATTTCATCCTTATACTTAACCCTAACGATCGATGCAATAAAAATACAGGGTGTAATTTTTAACACATTTTAGTTGGTTCGATTCCCGTGTGTGGCAAGCAAATTTTTGGAAATCTTTGAATGCAGTTCTGTTCTTTTCAGAAATAAAGGAATATTTTCTTTGAGAAAAAAAAACTATCTACAGTATTCAAAGTACTTTCCCTCCAGGTGGCATTACAAAATTCCACCCTATATATTTTTAATAGCTCTTACTTATAGCTGCGTAGCTGCAGCTGCGCATTCCTGACAGCTGACAGAGTGGATAACAGTCAACATGTAAGGAAAGGTAGGGAAAAGTATAGCAATGCAACCCAGCCTTAGAGGAGTATTCCATACAAAAACTAAGTAAACTAGTATAAAACCAGAAAACTCACCTTCTGAACCAGACAATTCTTTGTCATATTAAAAGCTGCCATAAATACTGGTCGCAAAAAAAAGTGCTGACAAGGATTCTTCATTTGCAATCTCAATAAAATTTTGTCGTTTGATTTTATTAAAAATTTGCCCTAAAAGTAAAATGATGAACTCAAAAAAACCTTATAAAATATAGTAGCCTCAAAACCATCATAATTTATTTAGTTATTGATACATACAAATCATTTTAGCGCTCCTGCACACGACGCCGCCACCGCTGATGCGCCGCCGCCGCGCCGTCAAAGCCGGACCAGTGAAATTATGCTTTGACGGCGCAGTGGCGGCGCGGCGGCGGTGCGGTAGCGGCGTCGTGTGCACGAGCGCTTATTTGACATTCAAGCTAAATAGGAACTAAATACACAACTATTGTATTGATAACATGAAGATAGAACACGCTTATTCCAAACTTAATGGATATATAATATGTTTAAAATGAATAAACGATGCATACTTTGGATATAGTAGTAGGTTCGTGGACTACTAAATTAAAGAACACTGATCCTCGATTCGCCCGTACTTCACCAGATGTTACCTCTGTACAATTTTTAACTTTAGGCCCTTTGCATAGTTCAAATGAGTTCACTTTTAAATCAAATTTTCCCTGAAACAAAGACGATAAGATAAGATAAAAAATTATTTCATAAGTTGTTTACATACTATAATACCTACAATTATTCCAATTATTTTACGTATTACAAAACAAAAATCATAATATCAGACTTTATTTTATTTCTTTTAAAACAGTACCTACCTATATCTGAAAATTAAAGGTTCCACAGTATTTAGCTTGGTGAGTTTGGCTCTATAAAGTCTTACAGAGACTACAGAAGATTTGAATCTTTTGTTTTCCTAGTGCATTTTGCCTGAAATACGGATTTCGGCACGCGTGCAGATAAGATCCACCTGTGTCACAGAATACATAATAGTAGCAACAGAAATTGCACTTCTTTGTGTAGGATCAGATGCCGACATTTTAACGGTAATAATAATAATGCGAAATATCCAACGCACATGGTGCATTCGAAATCGCACCTTACTACTACGCTCACAAGAGCGCATTTTTTTTGTGTTTAGAATTGATCTACGTCACCGCTCAAGCGTCAGGGTTGTATGAGCAAAGTAAAATAAATAAAAACTTAATTTTAAGAAGCATTTATTGTATTTACGATTAGAAAACTTTAATCTAGTGGAGTTTGTATAATCGTACCATCTCTAAAGTACCNTTTTTTTTTTATTATTTAAATCACTACAGTTAATTATTACTCCTAAATATTACAATTTTTCATTAAAGAAGAATAACAGTGCTGTTGGAATAATAAACCTTAATTGCGACGATGATCGACCGAGCGTGTATAGAAATACGCGTAAGCAAACAGGCGCGTGGCGGCCCGGACTGATTTGCAACTTGAAGTTGTCGGGCGCTGTAGGTAATTATCTCGGCCGGCATAGGCGAGTGACGGAGGCCTGCCTGTGTGTAATAACGCTGCTGGTTGCACACAGGACATAGATTTCGCATTGTGTGCCCGCAGCCAATCCGCGTTCCGCGTGCGTGTAGCCCGCGTATTAGTAAAAACCATGTATGAAATATTAAAACGCGGGCAGCCCGCATGCGCAATTTAATCCGCACGTGTGCTGAAATCCGCATGAGAGGCAAAAGGCACATTGAAGATTTGGTATTAAAATCCATTCACTTACATAAACCTTTTCTTTAATAGAATTTATGCTGGTAATAGCAATTATCATTGTAAGAAATGATACTTTCAGCATGACCAAGACCGCCATAATCACAAAAGATTATCTAAGTATTGCGCGAAAACTATTGACGTTTACAACAAAATACTGAAAATGCCTTTTGACTGAAATAAAGACTTATCTGATAGTTCCAATCGTTGCTCTAACTAAACGATGGGCTAATTATGCCTTGTTAATGTACATTTGTGTTAAATAATGTAACCTAACCCTGTTTCGTCTGTTTCCAATATTTTTTTAAATACCTACAGTCTACACATTTTATCTTTTGTCCCCAGAAAAGTAATAATATTGTTAAGGCACTGGTATTGGTATTTAAAAAAAAATCCCTGGGAGCTAACGTCCAGCAGATTTTTGCAACAAAAAATATTTAATGCATGAACACAGTTTTATAAAAAATAAAATCCGAACCCATCAATCGCAGAGGTGATGACGGATGGGTCTATCACTCTGCCAGTGTCACAATGGTAGCAAAATCAGCATATATTCAGAGCAAGTTTAGTAATGGAGCACCTAACCTGGTATTTGCTGGTCTATCAAAGTACTCAGCAATGCCGTCCCTACGACTGCAACGACAGTGATATCTTCAGAAGGCAAAGCTGAAATGCCTTTGGAAGAAATAAAAAAATATATAAGCATATCTTTGAAATTGTTAAGTCTTGGATTAATCATAGCTGCTGGAGGATTTTGGGCTGGCGCAGGAGTGGATAGCAGGCCTAAATACAGAGATGAGCAGACCCTGGTAGCAGGAACTATTTGGAGCCAGATTTTGATCCCTATAGGCCTACTAATATCCACGATAGTGAATGAAGAGCTTGAACATTTCATACATGGATATTTCCTAGTTACTGGTTTGATTCTAAAGTTTTCTACGGGTATAGTTTTGGTTAGTAAAATACTTTTAATTTATTGTGAGTTTAGTATTGATTGGGATGATTGGTGAGCCGGGGGCAGGTTTAGTTTAACAAGCCCCCAAGAGTCCAAAACGTTTATGCCAAGTCGAACAAGGCTTCCATTTTATAAGACATGTGAATTGATCATCATCATCAGTCATGATACTTCACTGTTAGACAGAAGTTTTCCCCAAGGAACTCCACAAAGCATTATCTTCCGCTTTCTCATCCAGTCACTGCCAGCTGTCTTATTAAATCTATCTGTGGAATCGCCACATGGCTTACCAAAAGGGATGCTCGTGCCTACCCAGCCTCTATTTAACTTTTTGCTCTTTCAGCTATCCTAACTTTTGTTACAGATAACATATGAATGCCTGTCTATAGTCAGGCAAAGGCGGTCAATCAGGCAAGTATCCGACACGAATCCAAGGCGAAAGAGAGTCGTCAGGTTCGAACTGGTGTATGATAAGATTTACTTATGTATAGGAATTTTGTCCCTTTTGGCTGGTGTTTTTACTTTAACCGATTTTGTTATACTTTTGATTTAAAAGCTTAATAAATGATTCTCTTTGGTCATTTTGTTTTTATGTTAAGTCTTCATAAAAGTAAATACAGAATCCACGATTGCTTCGCTACGAAACTGCAGCCCCAGATAGTTGAAAAGGCGCATCTAACATTTTTTTCGGATATGAGTTAAACTCAAGGACAGCTAAGAATTATTCAATTCAAATTATTTGAACTTAATATCACCGTTTTGACTTGATAATTTGTATTAGACGCGGCCTTTTAACTATCGGGGGCGGACCTAGCTAAAATTGGGCCAAGTCGCTGGAAGACTCACACATTATCTGTGTCTCAGATCAAAATAGACTTCGGCAATTTTGATTTAGTGCAATTCATTAGGTTTTAAAATTAGTCATCAAAATGTTTGTTTAAGCAACCACAACAATTAAATAAACCATAACAAACCCATGAAACTGACTTAGAAATTACAAGAATTCTAAATGTACACTTTGCAGAAAAGTATCAAAATTTTCAAACGAAAAATTATTCTCTGCTCTTGGACAATGTATCCCAGACTTTAAATAGTGGGGTTAAAAGTAAATAATACAATAACCACCCATTTAGGCAATCATGTAGTTTAGTGCTGTTTTTAACATTACTATAAAATAGTAAAATTGGATGCTGCATTTAATTCTATACATTTGTTTTATTTTCATAATAAAGTATAGATAGGTAGGTACTTACGTTTTCCATGCGGTTTCAAATATATTACAATGAATATGAAGATCTTTATCATATTCATGGTTTCCCTGACTCTACGATTTGTTAGTTTGAAGCAGGAAAAGAATTTCGTAAGTAAATGTTTTAATTATGTGTTATCAAGATACTAGCTGTGATCGCGACTTTATACCTACGCGTGAAAATATTTTGAATAATGTTTCTCTCTTTTTGCAACATTTTTTTTACGTTCTGCCTTCCTCAATAAATGGTCTATCCAACGCAAAATCTTACTTAAATCTTACCATTAAACAAAGAGAATATGTATATGTGTACTGTATACCTACTTCATAATCACTAATATTTCAGGGAAAATTCAATTTAATACTCGATGTATTCGAAGGCTGTAAAGGGCCGAAGACCAAAGATTGTTGCAACATAACCATTCACCGCCTTAACCAAACCGCCGTAGACTATGACGTACGCTTGAATAGGCCTATGACGTTAACTAAAGTAAGTAACTTTCATCGTATTAACATAGTATAATAATGAGTTTAATACGTCCTGAAATACATTTTTAACAATTTAAGGGATTACCCTTTACCCATAATGTTTATATAGTACCCACAAGGTGGATCGTTGACCTCATAAAGGTACAGGAAGGCGCTGGATGCAAGCTGCTATCTACTATTGGGGAAGGCCTATGTTCAGCGGTGGATGTCCTATGGCTGAAATGATGACCATGAAGGGACTCCCTTTTTCAAGAATTTGGCCTCAATTACTACCTAAGTTATCCCACCTATTCACTGCACCATTTTAATGAATTATTTTTTAGGGCAAAGTCACTGCCCGTACAAATGGTAGCGACTTTTTCAGGCTACAGTTGAAGAATCCATGCAACCATATTTTTTTGATGTCGATTTTGCAGACCGCTTTAAACATTACTCGAAAATGTGTTATTAATCCGGTAAGTACCTATTACCTACTTTTGCAACAGAATTACCACAACTATGACGTATTTTTCTCCCTGGCACCTAAAAATATCTGGCAAAATCTGGTACGCAAAGAACCGTTTTAAGATGCAGCAGTTTGGCTTTTGTGTTTTCTTCTATTTTCAACCGACGCACATTGACTTTTGTATTTCGCGTTTAAATTTGATCAAACCTAGTGCCTATACATATAATTTCTTATTCCAGGGCCATTACCACATGATTGCTGATATCAACAACATCGCGCAGTCTTACTACGGGGGCTTGTTCCTCTACGGCACTTTCCATTTTAGATCTCTCTTCTTGGCCGAAGACTGTAACTACTCGTGCACTGACGTTGTAGTTACGTTTGTACCAAAAAAAACTTAGTGCAAATTGGGGCGAATCTATAAGTAGAGCTGAGTTGCACCAACTTACATTAACCATAACTATAACCAGTGTTTTTGTATGGAGTTTGACAGATATTTGACGCTTGTTAAAGTTGAAGTAAGAAGGTGTTACTCAGCCTAATACTAACAGAATAAATTACCCTAAAAACACGTAGATATTAATTGAAATCATATTAATAAAGCTATTTTCCAAACTCTACAGGATTAATTCTTTGTAAAAAATATATCTAATGCATCAATATACATAAATAAAACGAATGTTTGTTTATTATTTCTTTAATAAAGTTTTGCAGTATTGCTTGTGCACTTAAACTATTATAATCTATAATAAATTATTTACAACTAATAGTTAAATAACGTAATGTACTTAATTAATAAAATATACATTTAGTCGAATGGGCAGTCCTCTTCAAAGTTCAGTTTAACGCAGTACATACCACGGGAGCTGTAACAAAAATAGTTGCATTATTCAAAATTAATAAAATTCCAATATGGGATAGGGCTAGCGATAATTTAAGACGATATTTTTATGTCAATTTTATCGACAAAAATGCCCATATAGAATATAAGCCCACTCACGAAGCCGGCGTGTCTTCTCCCAACATGATGGACCGCCTGTCCAACCTGATGCCCCACTTCCCACTCTCTTTGGGGCAGGAGGTGTCACACGGCACCCCCACTAGCTTGAGCCTCCGTCGCACTGAGGCGGCGAAGTAACAGGAGCTCTTGAAGTGGCTGCATCGAGATATTCCTGTAAATAACATGTTACGTATAGTAGAAAAAGAGCAGAATAGAGAAGATACTTGTAATAACTGTGATCGCAATAAAAATCATTTTATTTGATAAAAAAAAGCGGTTACAAAGGAGCGACTGATGCGCCTAAATAAACTTTCTTTATAATTTCTGCATCAATTGAATCGAAGAAATCGATAAGTAAAGTAGTGGGAAAGATTGATTTTATTTAGTCTAATGATTTGACAAAGTAAGCCAGTTTAGGGAGATCTCAACTTAATCATTTCATCAAACATTGAATTTTTTGATAGATCCAGTTTATTCTGTAACCTATTATTGATACCATTGAATAGAGCTTGTGAAGCACTTTTAGAATCAGTATTTAGTCTAATGATTGACAAAGTAAGCCAGTTTATTAGGGAGATCTCAACATAATCCACTAGCTGCTACTTTTTCCTTTTAAGATCTACCTTTGCTGGAGGGTATGAAATCTAAACTAGACTCACGCCCTTCATCATCATATGCCCCTTGCAGATTGGTTGCAAACTGGTTGCAGCCTGCCCCCATTAACGCAGAAGTTTGCGTGGCCCACCAATCCTGTCTCCCCCAAGAACCCTGCGTTGGTGTAGATGACGTACACAACATTCACATCATCTCTCACTGGATCTAGAATTTTTTCATACTCACGCATCATATGCCCCTTGCAGCCTGGTTGTAGCCTGCCCCCGTTGACGCAGTAATCCGCGTGGCCCACCAGCCCAGTCTCTCCTAGGTATCCGGTATTGGTGTTGATAACGTTGTACCTACACAACATTCACATCGTCTCTTACTGGATCTAGAATTTTTTCATACTCACGCATCATATGCCCCTTGCAGCCTGGTTGTAGCCTGCCCCCGTTGACGCAGAAATCCGCGTGGCCCACTAGCCCAGTCTCTCCCAAGAAACCAGCATTGGTATGGATGACATGCACCACGTGTGCATCATCTCTCCCCAACCTGAACAAACTGGAACCATACGCGTTGACTAGGGGCCGCGCTGGATCTAATCCTGAAAAGATATTGAGAAATATTTTTAAAGAACGTGGAGTTAACCTTACCTACTATAAGTAACTTGCATTGGTGTCGAGATATACATATTGTGACAACAATATTTTCCAATGTTATTGTTCATTTCTATGACGTCACACGATTTTCCATGGCATAATCTGTTCTAGATTTGAGGTACTAAGAAGGTAAGTATACAGCGGAAAAAGATATTGTTGCCGTTATGTTTGTAGCCCACCAAAATCTTATAGTAAGTTTAGTTCGTTTAAATAAGGAATTATTTTATTTATGATACAAATAAGTAGGGGCTTGTTAATTGATATGAGTGTTCACAAACATTATTGATAATGTTGTACCTCTACGCACATAGAAACAAAATAAAAATGGAGAAATTCGATAAGCAAACTGATGCTTTCTTACAAAGTTTTAAAGGACCTTCAAATGTTATGGTTTATTGACATTTCAATCGGTTTGATAGTGTTGTAATTGCAGTTGTTATCTCCTTTGGTTTAATTAAAAGTTAAGTGATAGTCAAATGTTTACATAGTTATGACATTATGGAAAAAATAAGAGTTTATAAATCCTTCTCGATTTATCATAATAGGTATTACCTGAGTAATTATAATAATTAGCTGGGCTCGACACTTACTTTATAATTAAATTCATTATTTATTGCTACAGTTACATTATGATATTCTAAATATATCATAAACTAATTTAGCATTATTAAGAGGTCTTAAAATAAGATCTAATTCCAATTCCGCGTATGTAGGCCCTTTTTGCACTAAGGCGGTTATCACACTGCGCCGCGCTCCGCCGCGGAGCGCGGGGCGACAGATAAACGTACAAGTCCTTTTTTCCTATGAAACTTTTTGACTGAAAGGACAAATTGAATGTGTTAGTCATTGTATGCAAGTACCTCAGTTTGTATAGAAAACACGCGCGGCACTTCACACTGACAACGCGTCCGCGCGCGTGATTTTTTATATGAAAATCACGCGCTCCGCGGCGGAGCGCGGCGCAGTGTGATAACCGCCTAACACGTCCAGAATGTAGCTTACCATATCGTTCCTTACTAAGTAATATTTATTGTGCAATTTTGTTTACAACATGAAATTCAAACGCCTGAAAACAAGTTATCAACTACACCAACTCTATCGGGCCGCTCAGTTAAGTTTCATACACTCATATTATGTAACTACCTACAATAACATACCTATATTGCTTCAAAACAATCAGCGTGTATGCTCGAACGATAGACATAAGTACTAAAATAATGCTTCGTTTGTCGAGTCTGCCGATAGCTTATCCGAAAAAGTCATTATTACTGTGCTTGGCGTTATCTACGGTTATCAAGTTCAAGAAAAAACTTCTATTTATCTCCAGTTATTCTATTATAGGTGTAGTACCTATTGAGATTTCATTTTATAAACTTAAGCATGATAGGTAGGTACTCACTTTAAACTATTGACTAAAAAGGCAATTACCCACCTGTCTGTTTCTTAAAACGTAACGTGACTGATATGGAAACCTTATCATAGACCATTTTTGTACATAAAATATCATCTCAATAAATCTAGATGCCATATCAACATAATAATTATACCTATACTAAGTAGATAATAGAATTTGTCGCTCCTCGTTAGAGATGAAAGAGATAGTAATGAAAATAATAGAATCCTGTGTTCTGAAATCAACATCATAAACTGAATTTAAAAATCGATAAAGCAATGAATCCATTAGTAAATGTAATCCATACTAATATTATAAATGCGATAGTAACTCTGCCTGTCTGTCTGTCTTGCTTTCGCGCCTAAACCACTAAACTTATTTTTATGAAATTTGGCTTAGAGATTTGAGTCCCGGGACCTTTCTCGGGATATAGGATAGTTTTTATCCCGGTTTTTGAAACAGGAACGAGCGTGATAAAAATTTTCTGTAACAGACAAAATTCCACGCGGGCGAAGCCGCGGGCGGAAAGCTAGTATGACAATAAAACATCATTAATACATTTATCGGAATTTATAGTATCTTACCTTCCTGGCATGACACCTGTATATAATCATGTATTTTTATTTTGTTCATTTATTTATGCACGAAACTAGACCTTTCAAGCGTACAATGTAGGTGGCAATTGGTAAGATTGAAAATGCTTGAGTATCTAAGTAAAAACCAAATTGATATGAAAAATTAAGACGTGGAGCTAAAGATTATGTTATCGTCGGCTTATCAACCCGCGTGTTGTTGTGTGGGATCATATTTAACTAGAAGAGCCGGCCGGCTTCTTACTTCGCGGGAGACCGCCGGCTGAGACACACGTGGTGAACAGGAATAACGAAAATGGCCAAAGTTGAAGTTAAATACACTAAGGTTAGTTCATTTTGTACTATTTATTTTGGGATACAATTCACAGTATTTTTATTTAAGTATCAAATATTTTTGTAAATTGAAAATATTACGGCATACCCAAATATGTCATCAATTTTCTTTATACATTCCTCGTTTTGTAATTCTCATATTTCCGGTTACTACATAAATTCTCTAAAATTTTGAATTAAAAAAAAATAGAAATTGTAGAGTGGGTAGTGGGTACTCTACACTAAGGAAATTAAGTGCTCATTATTTTTATTCGGGTCTTGTTCTACTTTTCAAAAATAAATTATATCTCTAAAATAAAATAATATTTAAAAATAGCATTTAACACCGAGTTTGATAAAAAAAAATTGAGTATGTATCCAAATTTCATAGCGGACGCAATGATCCAAGTAAAGATCGAAATACTAGGTACATCCATTAATTAAAATTTATTTGCTTTTCACTAATTCACTTAAACTGTAAAAAAAACCTTGCCTCATGTTATTTCTAAACCTTAGGTACGTTCTTAGAACTGCATGTTTCCATAAACAACAACTCCTTGAAGTAACTGTACAATTCCTGATTGATATTTAATCAAAAGAATAATGGACATAGGTATTAATTGTTTTAAGCAAGTTATGTCCTACTAATAAATATTGAAGAAAACATCGGCAAATTCATACATTATTTGTATAGTATTTACTAAAATGTAAAATGTTTGTTAACATTTTTAACATGTATAAAAAATCATCTGGGATATTTCATTAAACACATTCATACCATGCATTCTTGTTATCAACAAATGCAATTCAAAGAACCATTATTATGTCCACACTTATTATGTCCAATCTCTAGTTTAAGTAGTTTGATAATTTGTAATTGAACTTTAGAGATTAATAAGTACAATAACTATTTAAGATTACCCCTCCCTTTTAGAACTATTCGAATTAAATTATTCACTATAGCGTAAGTATATCGTTACAACACACCCACACCAATTGAATCAATTTGTCCTTGATTTTATTTGATTTAACAGCATCGACTTGGTGTCGTCTTTATTTACACGTCGAAGTAAATTGTAGATACAATTTGAAATTGTGACTCATAGATGTTCTTTTGTCATTTTTATTTATAAAAATAATAATAATGTTATTCTAAACTATCCTATGGATGTTTATTTATTACTCTGTCACGAAAAAACTACTGAATGGATTTAGATGAAACTTAACTTTTTATACATCCGAATAAAATATATATACATATGATTAATAGGATATTAATTTATAACGATCTGTGACACAAGCTAAATTTCACGCGGGCGAAGCCGTAGGTAAAACCTCTTCTGAATTCAAAAGTAGGTAAGTAACCTAGTACATCTAGTCATCTCATAAGTATAAACAATGAAACAAACCCAGTCATTGTAGAAGTACGTCAATATTACAAACGTGCAAACGATGATTTGCAGGCCACCCAGCAGCGCAATACTGAAATCATTGTCAAGGCCGTGCGCTAAAAATAATCTTGAAATCCGAATCGGAACTGAGTGGAAATTCGAACATTACTTCGAAATTAGCATTCTTGGAGTACATTACATTACAAAATTTGGAAAATAAAAACGTTAGGAAAATCGATCTAAGATTTACAGGTTTAAATACGCACGTGCCAAGTGACAATAATGCTCATCCATTCATTAATATTCAAAATATGAGTTCACGTCTGTAAACATTCAAATTTATGTTAAACAACGACGAACGTGAAAACATTCATAAACAGGTAAGAATACTACCTAAAGAAAATAACCATAATGATTAATAAACTTTACCTTCGACTGTTCCTGGTATTGAGTAAAAAATACATAATAGCTAAACAAGGGGTAGCTGTTTTTGGTCTTAATTTCAAGCAAAAGTGAAATGTTTTTTTTAATTACCTAGTTTAGAAAAATAGATCTTTAAGTGCAGTTGACGTGACGGCACATCAAGATAACCATAGAACGTGCCTTTGATTTCACTGAAAGAGAACATGACAAAAGACACTTGAATAAGTAGCCGTGAGTTACAATACCGCAACCATTGTGTGCGGTGGTCGATGGGCCGCTGTAATTTCAAACTTCCGCGTAGGTAAGTAGGCAATAGCAATCAAACGCACCCAAGTGCTCATTGTTGACAATGATAACATCGATAAACACTCTATAAATGATGAAGTGGAAAATATTTACCTACCTACAGGGTGAATGTGAAATGGACTGATAGAGAGATATTGTAGGATTCGGATCGATACCTGTCACAGATCCAAATCTGTTGTACAAGTTATTGCTCCACAATCTTACGCTAGGTAAATAAATAAGATAATAATAGGTATCTTATTATTCCGTATTTCACAATGATTTGTAATCGGTTGTAGGTTTTGCAACTAGATATATCGATACCTCTGNGCATAGAGATAGTTTGAGTCCCGGGAAAGAACATAGGATAGTTTTTATCCCGGTTTTTGAAACAGGGACGCGCGCGATAAAGTTTTTCTGTGACAGACAAAATTCCACGCGGGCGAAGCCGCGGGCGGAAAGCTAGTATTATTTATAAATGCGAAAGTAACTCTGTCTGTCTGTCTGTCTGTCTGTCTGTTACGCTTTCCCGCTTAAACCTCGCCACC